CTCAGGTTGGAGGCCATAGCTCTTAGGTTAGAGGCCATGGCTCTCAGTTTGGAGGCCATCGCTCTTAGGTTGGAGGCCATGGCTAGTACGTTGGAGGCCGTGGCTCTCAGGTTGGAGGCCATAGCTCTTAGGTTGGAGGCCATGGCTCTCTCTCAGGTTGGAGGCCATCGCTCTTAGGTTGGAGGCCGTGGCACTTAGGTTGGAGGCCGTGGCTCTCAGGTTGGAGGCCATAGCTCTTAGGTTGGAGGCCATGGCTCTCAGGTTGGAGGCCATCGCTTAGGTTGGAGGCCATGGCACTTAGGTTAGAGGCCATGGCTCTCAGGTTGGAGGCCATAGCTCTTAGGTTGGAGGCCGTGGCTCTCAGGTTGGAGGCCATCGCTCTTAGGTTGGAGGCCATGGCACTGAGGTTGGAGGCCGTGGCTCTCAGGTTGGAGGCCATCGCTCTTAGGTTGGAGGCCATGGCACTGAGGTTGGAGGCCGTGGCTCTCAGGTTGGAGGCCATCGCTCTTAGGTTGGAGGCCATAGCTCTTAGGTTAGAGGCCATGGCTCTCAGGTTGGAGGCCATGGCTAGTACGTTAGAGGCCCTTTCGAACGGCCAGTCCTGTGACGCCCTCACCCAGCTTGGCCACGGTGCCTGAGAGGTCAAAGCCCGGAACATAGGGAAAAGACACGGGAGCGATGCCATGGAGACCTCCACTCAGAGCGTCCAACTTGAATAACAATCAAAACATGCTTTGATATATTTTGTGACGTTTCTGCTTTTCTTTCTTGACCTTATTTCTTTAAACCTTAAGACTGTTCTTTGTTTCAGACCTCCACTGAAAAGCTTCCAATCGATGGGGTTCACTGCTGCCAGCTCCACTTTGATCAAAACCTGGCCCTTCTTCGGTTCCGGCACGGGAACGGTGTCTAGGGTCATCTTCCCGATGGTGTCCGCTGGGTTGCCCTCTTCGCCATAAGCATGGGCACGCCATGCCTTCATCTCTTTTGGGACTTCCATTCTGGAAGTTGCAATTGGTTGACCGCAAAATTTGAACCAAAAAGGCTTCGAATTGCCTGGAACAACACAACGAAAAAGAGCATGGCCACCACACAAGTGCGTGACAGTGAATGATAGCATATAATGAAGTGTCAAATCACATCTTTCGATCCATTCGATCCATTCGATCCCGTCCTCGGTGCTTCGCTCGCGTTCGCTCGCGTTCGCTCGCGTTCGCTCCTTGCCAATGTACATCTCTTGCTTCAAGGCCGCCAACTCTGCCCCCGCAAGCGGCTCCCAGGAATGTTTGTCCTTGGCAATCTGATAGTAACAAGGGCATCACTATTAGGAACAGGTGCATCGCTATTAGTAGCAAGAAGCTACTAGTGTTAAGTGCATCGCTACCAGGAACAAAAAGCTACTAGTAGCTCCTAGCAGCAAGAAGCTACTAGTAGCTATATAAGTGCACCACTACTAGGAACAAGAATCTACTAGTAGCTCCTGGCAGTACTACTAGGAGCAAGAAGCTACCTCATTAACAACTCAAGCTGGTCCGAGTGTTGCGCTGGACGATTAGTTCTACACAACGGCTCCACACTCGCGAACTTGATTCAAAGCCCAGGTACGATCTCCATGTCGAAGTAGATGCAGGACTGGGGACGGTTGCAAAGTGCAAAGTAGTGCGATTCTGGAAGCCATATTTATCAAATTTGTCTTCATTATTCGTCATGATTCATAAATGACAACATATGTCAACACACCATGGCACCTCCTCCAAGATAAAAAGGAAACATTTATTTAACTCTAGTGATCTAGTGGTTTCAGGACAGCTCAAGCTTCACAGGGGGTTGGCCTCTGCGTGAAGTGGGTGAAGTCACACAAGATTTGTGCAAGGCACAGGGTGATGATTCAAGAGGTTTCCGTAGACATTGTAGCCGTTGAACACCACCTTGCCGGTGCAAGGCATCCGGGCCCAGCAAATGTGGAGGTCTCAAATGCACACACTTGCCGGAAAGCGTTTGCCCGTGCCTCAATGCTGGCAAAGGGAACGTCCGTGATCCTTGGTGCAACACATGTGCCAAAGAATGTTGCGTGAGGCAGGTGATTATGCAATGGTATTTCTGAGGGTTCCGTTGTGAAATAGCTGAGAATAACTCACGCACGCCAAGCGGTAGAAAGCATACAATGGTTCCAAAGGATCCTGGCTACCTGACTGCGATGGACGTTCAGAGTCGCAATAGATCCAATAGATGTTCACGCAACCCCCTTTTATCTGCAAAGGTCCACCCTGTGCTGCCATGAAGCGTGTCAGCCTTGTAAAGCTCGGGCCATGGAGCAATAGGAAGCCTCTCCACACAATGCAGAACAATCTGGCTACTGCTTGGCCTCCCCTTTTAAAGCAGGGCATTGCATAGACCGGGGCAATTTGATGGCCTTCCCAGTGCAAGCTCAAGAAGTATCCGAGTCGATGAGGATTCTTTCATGCTACTGTCCTTAATAGCAATGGCCTCCAACCTAAGAGCAATGCCCTCAAACCTAACAGCAATGACCTCCAACCTAAGAGCGATGGCCTCCTCCAGCCTAATAGCGATGGCCTCCAACCAAATAGCCATGGCCTCCAAGCTAATAGTCAGGGCCTCCCACCTCAGACCAATGGCCTCCAACCTAAGAGCGATGGCCTCCAACCTAACGGCGATGGCCTCCAACCTCAAAGCAATGCCCTCCAACCTAAGAGCTGTGGCCTCCAACCTCAAAGCAAATCCCTCCAATCAACCTAAGAGTGATGGCCTCTACTGTACTTCAATAGTGCGGAGAGAAAGGCAAATGCTCCCCCAAACCCCCTCGGGGCAGCATTGCTAGCTAGTGTAGTGCTGATGATGGCACCAAACTCACCAGAACTCGCCCTTGGGCTCTACAGCACCCAGCTCTTCGTTGCCAGCATTCACCCGAGCAGGCTGCATCCCACCGGGCCTGTACAACTGATCCATGGAAGCCAGGTGCTGCTGCCTGGCTCAAGAAGCTCAACACACGGCTCTATGGTCGAAAACTTGGCTGCCTGACATCCATCGATGGATCCAAACATATTTGCAACAAGCTGCTCCGCAGGAACCGCACCATCACCCAGCCACGTGGGCCACGTGGCCGCGCATCGCCAACTTGCTCTTAGCCGCTGGAGTTCCAACGCCTGCTGAAGTTGGCCCGGTCTTCCAGGGCCTTTTCGGACTTCCAATCTGCAGTTGCCTGGCACGAGGAACGTTTGCGCGCGAGGAGATCCTTTTGGAGCATCATGGGCAATGGCGGACATGCATCTTGGGCATCTGTCAAGAGTGTTTCACCTTTTCATGGCGCAAAAGCTAGAACGCTAGAACTATGCGAGACCAAAAACCCATCAAAACAACACGATGTTGGACGCCTGCTTTTCCTGCCATCTCTTGTCCACCTCAGAATCGGTGAACATGAAACATGTCGCATCTTGTGTTGGATGGGTGGACCTGGAGAAGTCAAGCTAGCGAGCAGCTTGAGTCCATGTGTGCCGACTTGGATGTAGGTGGAGTAGGTAGACGTACTAAGGAAGGCTGATGATGAAGACTTGGAGAATCTAGGAGAACAGCATGTTTCCGAATCTTGCTTAATCTCTTTTTGAAAACCTGCCTATACCTCCCACGCCATCACCTAATCAATTGATTGTCATGGCCTACAAGCAAATCTTTGCCATCAGCAGCCTCAAGGACAAATGAAGGGTTTCTACTAGCTTCTTGTTACTACTAGTAAGGCACTTGTTACTAGTAGCGATGCAATTGTTACCAGGAGCTTCTTGTTACTACTAGTATACAGTATATATATATATATATTTGATTTCCAGCCACTGGAGAAGGGTTTTATTGTGTTTTGCGTGCTGCTGCAAGAGCACCTCTGCTCATGGTGGAATCAGTCTGTGCAACTTGGAGTGGAATCAGCTCAGTTGTTCACTCCTTGTGGTTTGTGCTTCGCTCCTCATGCGAGCACACACTAGAAATTGCCTCGCCTCCGGCACAGATCGCTCATCTGTCTTTCCAATCCTCAGATGCTGGAAGCCAGAAGTGCAAAGCCGCTTGATGGTTGACGACTCTCGATGTGTTCGAGCTTCAAAATAAGACTTCCAAAATTGGATCGTTTCCACTGAGGCTTCGTCTTTTGTTTTCCCGCTTCGTTTTCCAAGGAATTGCACCAGTTAGGCTACTATGCTCTGCTTGTTCACCTACAACTGGACCTTTACAATGCGAAGTGCAGCAAAGGAACTTCTTAAAAAACCCTACCAGTATACAGTATACAGCAAAGGAACTTCCTACAGTAGGGGGCATTTGGGCCAGGGTCTACAAACGCAACTTCTTCGTGGATGTTGGTTTCGTTTGGGGCGTCATTTGGGGCGTCGTGGAATGAGACACATTTCGAAAAGCAATTTTATGGTCCGAGGGCTTCCCAGCTTCAACTTCGGACAGTTACTACCCCTTCATCTTCACTGAGCCCAGTACTTTTCAATTAAAGGATGCACATGCAAACATCCCACCAAAAGGCATCGTTTTTGTATTATTTCCGGCTTCGTTTTCCAAGGAATGTGCAAGATCTCACCCCAAATGATCCATTTTAATAGTATTATATATAATGCAAAAACTGAATGCTAGGTTTTTTGGGGTGGCTCTGTGGCTCTCTTAATCTTTGAATTCAACTTCCTTGGACACAATGTCGCCCTTCCTTCAAACATCTCTTGTTGACATGAAACTCGAAATGGCCTCTGCAGTTTCAGTTTGGTATTCTGCGGCCCCCCGCCATCGTTGGGCCAGGTGATACTTTGCACCCGTCGTCACTTCCCAAAATGTAATTGTGCCGTAGCCCTGGTCAGTAAACGTGCGTTCACGACAAACTCAACTGATTATGCAATTCACTCTTGAACCTTGCACTGGCGCAATTAGGTATGCAAAAACATTCTGTTTGGAGTGGTAGTGGGGGCACTCCCTTCATCCTGCGATATCCTGCGCTTGTGGATTGCTGCGATGGAAAATGTGCTAAGAAAAATCGTTGGCACCTCGCGTGTCAGGACCCAGGCATGCTCCGCGCCACTTTCCACACGACCTGCCAAAAAAAAAACATTTTTAACATAGAAAAACATGCCGACATATTTAGTTCCGCAGCTGTGAGATCAACGAAACAATGTTTGTGATGACATCATGCGCGTTGAAAATCGTTGAAAATCAGTGATGTGGTTTGATCCTTTTTCTTCTCGGTCGTCTTCGCACAGCTCTGGCAGGGCGGCATTGAAACTCCGCCCAAATCTTCCAAGGTGTATTGGAAGGGGGCGCACAAAGGGCAGAACAAGGTGGATGTTCTTTTGCAGAATGCATGCTGGCTATTGAGGAGGGCATGTGGCGACGATCAGAAGCTCGCACATGGTTCTCAAAGTTCTTTCTGTCCCTTCAATTCCTCGAGCTTCGCAAAGAACCAACGCCAGCTCCGTGCCCAACTGCAAGATGCTGAAGCCCGTGCATGAGCATACTCGTTTCGAGACATAGTCTTTGGGTCGAAGTCGTCGAAACACCTCGGTTGGAGATAAAGCCCCTGCACCGCATAATCCACACGGTTTCCTTTCGCAGGGAGTCGTGGGGTGCAAGATGGTTAAAATCTTGAAAATTTTACGAAAATATTCATGTCAAGGTTCATATCCACCCGGGGCTTTGTGTCATCCACCGGGGGCAGAGTGTAGATTTCCAGCAAAGCAGCACATACCTTGAAGCACTTATTTCTTGGTTCGAAAACATGTGGCAATGCTTTCTCAAATCCTGGCATAGCTTACCTGTCTAGATAGCATGGAACGCTTCAAAGTTCCCAACACGAACGGAAAAATTAAACTCGCATAGTTGAGTGATCTCAGTATCGCAGTGCCGAAAGCTTGAACTCTAGCAAAAGACACCTTTCACCTGACCCTTGAGGTCAATCAGCTTTTACAAAGCAGTCCGAAAACTGACTGAAATGGCTGCAGCGAAAGCCATTCCAAGCGCCAAGCGTCCTTCTTTGGCTTTGGTTTCTTTCGTCCGAACTTCAGTGGTTGGCAGCTTCAGGATCGGTTGCCATATCGGCACCGGGATCCATGGGTTTTCTCTGACATCTTGATCTTCTTCTGCCCGGTGCGCCAATCCTGGTTCCATGTGGCAAGTACCTTATGGGGACAGCACTTGATCGCAATCAAACGGGACCACAGACCGGTGACATTGTCGGTCCGCAGCTGTTTTGGGCAGCCCACGCACACCTTGAACTTCTTGCCCTGCTGTCTTGATGTCGCATTTGGCCACCCACTTGTCATAGCTGATGATATGCGGTTGAGCCACGGAACGTCGCCTTCATGCTCTGTAGCTTCAGGCTCCTCTTCTTCAGCGGGATCTCATCTCCATCACCTAGGTGCTCAACTTCAGCTGGACCTATCTGATTCCTCTTCCTTTCTTTGTCTCTGCCTGCTTGAGATCAGGCGTTGCTCCTTCACCTTCAGTGGATGCTCATCTCACCACTGTTTACTCCTCACGATTGTAGCCCGCACTTGTCAACGCCTTGACAATCACATCGCGAGCTACATGGAACTCCCATGTCTCCACTTGCATCTTCAATTCGGAGATCGCAGTGTCTGGCATCTGGCTCATGGTCTCATCTTCGTCTTCTTCTTCTTCTTCTTCTTGGCCTTGTGGGCACAGCGCTCGGCTCGATGCTGATGTGCTGGAGCCACGCTCCTTGGCTTGCGCTATACCACTCGAACTTGTGCTCGTCATTTTCACCATCCCAATGACAAAAGGTTGCCTGCTCCTTTGGGCGCATGCCAGCTCGCAATAGTCACGTCTCTTCTGCGCCTCATACGTCTTCCAACCTGGAGCGCGTCCTCTTCTCTTTCTTCCATGGGCCCAGTATGTCAGCAGCGAAACGTCCTGACTCACCAGCGCTGAAGCAGCACGGCTTGTGGTCTGAAGGCTGGGGGGTTCAACTTGGCCGCTTTCTCCTTCTCCCCGAGGGGTCGGCATTCTTGTTGCCTCTCTCCGTGTCTTGAACTTGCAGCAGGAACCCAGGCCCCTGTCTGCCCACTGAACTTGTCAGGCGTTGGAGTGCCTTTGAGCCCCAAGCGGTCTCGGACTTCGACGCTCATTGCAACGATCTTGGTGTTCGCCGTCGCTGTGTATAGACTTCTGCCATTGTTTGCCGTAGTTACTGTAGTGGGTTGTGTCCCGCAGCCAACGCTTGCATCAGTTGTGCAACTTCCCCTGCTGGGACGTGCGCCTTGTGCCTCCTGTTGTGCCATTGCCCTGACTGATGCAGTTCGGCTTCTAAGCAAGTGATGTGTGTTGCACCTCCGGCGCCTGAACTGAAGCAGTTTGGTTTACCTTCGGCCCGTGGACGGTAGCTGGGCTCTTACAACCACAGCTCCGCTCCGCTACCATGAACGAAAAAATTAGGCTCACAAAGTTGAGTGAGGTTGTAAAAAGGCAATGGACTTTGAGGATGTCTTGTGTGGGGTTATCGTTTTCTATTCCTTCTCGCTGCGGCTTAGGAGCTAAAACCTTATTGTTTTGGCGTTGCGAACTTCCACAGAACACCCGCAACTGCATCATCATGTCGTCGCCGTCATGAAGGTGTATATAGGATACAAGTGCCAGAACTCAGGCGTCAAGAACTTGTCGCGCTCTTAGTCTTGGAAATTGTCTGTAAAGGCTGCGGGCGCGCGTGCTGGATGCGGGAAACTGCAATGACATGTCGGCTTGGTGGGCGTCATCCTCCAAACAAAGACGGTGCCCAAATGTTGTGGAATTCAGTTTTGGGGCTTGGGCGGATGCACTTGTCCCGTGACTGTGTGAAGCACCCGCCCGTCCCACCAAAAAAGAACTCAAAAAGCTAGTCAGACGGGCTGTGACGTCAAACTCCCGCAGCATGGAAGCATCGCAGCGAAGCTTGACCGTCTGAATTACATTTGTAAGCCAGAAAGAGTGCCAGAAAGGAAGAGTTGAGTCTGACATCAAGTAGGTCTTGAGTGCCCCTGCAATACACTCGTCTTAGGTTCCTGCAAAGTCTCCGGGTGTTGTTGTCATTGAAAAAAGAAAGTCCAAACAACTGTGCAGTGTGGGGGCCTTATCGGTTTAGTTTTTAGCCCGTATCGTTTTACCTGGGGCCCGCTACCCTTTGCAAAAGAGGGCAACCCAACGACCACTTCCTGAGTAGAGGGTATCGTACTCCCTCGAGTGATCTCAGTATCGCAGTGCCCAAACGTTGAACTTTAGCAAAGCGCACTTTTCACCTGGTTTTCGAGGTCAGTCAGATTTGACAAAACGGTCTGAAACTGTCTGAAACGGCTGCAGTGAAACACATAAACATGAGTGCTCTACACGGTTCATAAGACTGTGACATGTAACTGGCCCAACATCTGATCACAACACCTGAGGGAAAAAGGAAAACACATGAAACATGAAACAAATTGTACATTTGACAAATCTAACGATTGCGAACCAATGTAATGACTGATGGAGAGCTACAACTATGGCAAACAACAGCACTGTCAGAGCCATGCACGCCACCAGCAGCCCATCGATCTTGTGGCTGGTGGATCTCAAATCCCGGTCTTGTTGGGGCGCAACTCTTGTAGCCATCTGACATCATCTGACATTTGCAGGCTCAAAAGGAATACAGCTCGACTCTTGCTTGAACCTAAAGCAAAGCTGAAAAGGCTTGCTTGGGAGAGATGGACCGCAGCACTCGGCTGATTGACGATTTGCGACAGCATGCCACTGAGAGTTCAACCAGCATACTTAATCCGCGTGGTATGATTGGCATGGTGCTTGGGACAAAAAATGCGAACTCTGAATGATCCAACAGCACTTTAACATTCCTCAACCAGCCTCATGCCGTTCCCACCACCGTTCCCACCCTCTACCCGGCAATTTTTCCTCAACCAGAATTTGGTCTCTGCAGAGATTGAGCTCTGGCAATGCCAGGGGTTGCGATCTGTATTGAACATGGAACATGATGGAACCCTAGAAATTACATCTTGACTAGCATGGAATATCAGTGGCAGAAACAGGAATCCACAGCAACCCCTGGCAACGCTTAAATTTAACACACTTGAGAGCGCACCTTTCCTGTATCGTTATCAACTCAATCAAGCCGCCGCCAGCTTCCAACCCTTAACAAGTTATGTGGCTAGAACTGCATATGTTTTGCGTGCCAGGTGTGCTGCACGATGATCTCTACTACATCCCCAGGACACTTGCATGGCATGTGTGCACCCTGCTTTTTGCAAACTCGTTCTGCCCCGAATCCCAGTTGACCAAGCAGGATCGCCCAGTAGTATTAGACCAGTGTACCAGTGAAGGGTCAACAATCTTGAAAGGGGAGCGTAGCTTGCCAGAGTATTCCACCAATCCAGAGCATTCCACCAATCAATTCTCGAACTCTTAGCCACACAGGCCAGCAGCACAACTACCATGTGTGTGTCCTGTGAACTTCTGAACCTCATACGCTAGCAAGCAAGGAAGCAAGAGCGACACCAGGAATGAGCGGCCTCCCAAGAAGTCCAAGCAACAATGTTCCATGTCCATATTCCTGACTAGGTCTATGGAATGCAGTTGCAGTTGGTCTACTAGTTTACTGCAAAATCATGAGGGGTGTGCTGTTGGACTCAAACTTGTAATGAGACGACTTGTGTCAACTGATTGAAGCTTAAACTTTAGATTAGGTTGGAGGCCATCGCTATTAGGTTGGAGGCCCTTGCTTCTAGGTCAGAGGCCATCGCTTAAACTTTAGGATTTGCCCAAATCCTGGGAATCAGGTCTTATCAGGTGATTCACTACACTAGACGATTCCAAATCGTCACTCCGACCACGCCTCAGGCACTCAGTCATCATCATCTGCCTCCGACCACGCCCGCTCACCACTCCGAAGCTGCTTGGCGCGCTCTTCATCCTCTTTAGCCTCTTAACGAGGCTCACGGGCGTGCTAGTCTGCAGCTTGATGACGCAAGTCTCGTGTTTCTTCAGTTTCTTCGCGTATCTGTTTTGGCACGCGGTGCCTCAAACGACTAGAACGCGGTACCTAACCGTACTATCTCTAGTTGTTTTGCTCAGGACGCATGGAAAGGGTCAAATACCATCCTGAAGGAGTCAGGGGCTTAAACACCATCCTTGGAATGCCTGGATATGCCTGACACACTCTGATTAGATCATGGCCAAGGCCAGACCTGCATGAAGGAGTGAAACTTGTGTTCTGGACAGTGCGAACCGCTACGGTTACGGGGAGGGGTTCATGGAGTGACAGCTCGTCCCTTTCACAACAAGGGACAACGCACAACAGGGAGGAGTTCATGGAGGATTTCAGTGAGACATAAACGGAATAAAGTGTATATCGGTCACAACTGGGCACCTATACAGGACAGGCAGGACATGTCAGGACCTAGGTCGGACGGAAAGAAACAAATGGAACAACAAAAACAGGTATGCCTATCGTCTTCAAGTTCAGTGGCAAACATAGATGCACACGTTGAGGCCACTGAGAAAGTTTTTGTGAGTATTCCCCAAACATTGCAGGGACTTCCTAACCGACTCCTGTGGCAGAAGGGAGGAAGAGATGTCCCAAAACAACTTTAAAAAACAAAGACCTCGGATGGCCTCGGCATCCTCTTCTGTTTTGTCCTTCTTCTCCTCCTCCTCTTTGTCTTTGTCTTTGTCATCTTTTTGCTCGGCTTCCGCGCTCCAGTTGATGTGGCAAACCACTGATGTCGCTCCTACGATCCGAGGCCTCATCTGCAGCTCCACAGCAACAAGGACCCTTTTGTACTGTAAATTGGCTACCAGTAACAAGTGCACCGCTACTAGTAACAAGGCCATTACTACTAGTGACTAGTGGCAAGAAGCTACTAGTCGCGATGCCCTTGTTACTACTGCTACACTTTCACCATATTCCGCGATGCTGTGAGATCCCAGTATCGTCAGCATTGAAAGTCCAAAAGCACAGCAACACAAACCTTGAATACATAACACTATATATCCAAACCCAATCAGAAAATTGAATAGTTGGGAAGAAGACGTCCACCCGTATCAATGAAGCTTTGCAAACAACGGTAATCGCTAGGCTGTTCACACTCTACCTGCCCGTACATATCATAATTGCTGATGGCAGGAAAGGGCTTCATTCAAAGTTGATCCAAGTGAGCTAAGTGTCTCATCTTTGGCCGCGAAACGCTCTAATCTCTTCTGCCGCCGCTCGGAGTCTTCCTCCACGGAGGGGGTCTCCAGGGCTTCTTTCTTATAGCCGTACTTCCCCTGGTCGTTCTTCCACCTAAGTAGTAGTAACAAGTGCCACGCTAGTAGGAACAAGTGCCTTACTAGTAGTAACAAGAAGCTATTAGCATAATAAAGAGTTGTCACACACATGACCCAAGCAAGAATTAGGACGCCGAAGGTACTCCGAATATCTCAAACAACTATATTCTATTGAATTCTTGTTTCTAATAGCTTCTTGTTACTAGTATAGTATGGCCAGGAGCCCCTAGTAGCATCTTTGCTCATAGTAGCGATGCCAGGAGCCCTAGTAGCTTCTTGTTCCCCTGCGTATGCTAGCAACACAGCACAGCACACTTTGCAGAAAAAAAACAGTCGTTCAAATCAGTGCCCTTTGCAAATGCCTGCCGTCTAGGTGCAGCCCCTGGAGCGAAAAAAACATAATACAATGAATGAACACACACCAAGCACTGAAAAGCAATGATTTATACACATTACAATCACACGCAGGCTCAAGCAGCTAAAGGGCCAATTGGAATTTGAAGACTTCCATCCGGACCCTGACCAATTGGAATTGGAGGAGTTCCACCAGTTCTCTGACTTCTTCCAATTGGAGCCCCACTTGCTCCATTGATCAGACTTCTGCTCCCCATCCTGCGCCAGTGCGTCACTGAAACCGACTGAGTCTGACAGTCTGACAGGGGGCCGGAGCGAATCTCGAGAAAAAAGGAGACCGCAAAATGAAGCAAAGAGAAACTGAAGTCCACCAGTCGCTAAGCGAAAGAACATGCATCTGAGCGATTCGATCTGGACCTCATCATCCGACCCCATATCAAAGGCAATTCTCGCATCGGAGTCCTTTCCAGAGTCCTTTTCATCCTCCTTCTCATCCTTTGAGTCCTTTGCATCCTTTGTATCCTTGGCACCCTTCGGCTTTGGAACAGGGTCTTCATCATCTGACCATGCCCTAAGCCCTTTGTGCTCCTTAGCTCAACTGACAACACCAACACAAGTGTCCTCTAATTTCCCAGCTCCCTTTCCTGTCGATCATTTCCAAAGGCAAAATGTAATGTATATAGTTGGCAGCAAGTCGGTCAGGTTTGAACCGCTCTGCCTCCTCCGACAATACAAGCTACGCGCAGGAAAGCTTCCTTGGATTCTTCTTTATCCTTGGCCTCCCATTTGGACCATTGGTTCCCCCACTGGCCATAGCCCCTGCCATAGCCTTAGGGCGGAAAACAGATCGAAAAGTGCGACCTGCGGGATGACTAGAGCTTTCCTTGTTACTAGTCGCGTCCTTGCTCCTAGTAGTAACGGCCTCCAACCTATTTGCGATGGCCTCCACCTAATGGCTTCCTTGTTACTAGCAACTAGTCCCCTGAGATCCCCTGAGTATGAATCTGTGCTATTTTTTTGTGTCGTTCCCGACGCGGAGGCGGCCGGGGGCGGCGCGAAAACCCAAAAATTCGAAAAGTTGAAGTGTTTCTTGTGTGCAGGTGGGCCGGGACAAAGCGAAAACGCGAAAATTCGACAAATGGTTTGCGGCCGTCAGTTCGCAAGTGACGCGCGCAAAAGCGAAAACGCGAAAATTCGAAAAGCGCGAAAAACGTTTCGGGGACACCAGACGCGCGAAAAGGCGAAAACGCGAAAAATCGAAAAGTGCGAAAAGTGTTTCCTGCCTGTAAAACGATTGCTTAGTATGAATAGGTTGCATGCACCACAGCAGGCATCCTATTACCACTTGAGTGACCAACTGAAATCCACAATGGAACAACAATAAATGAAATGATAGGAATGTTAGGCATCCTTCCCTGGATGTTTCGGCATGTTTGGGCCCTGAGTCCAACCCGTCTGAGAGATGACAAGTTACCCCAATTACCTTTACCAGCACCCTTCTTCTTCCACTCTCCTGGATGCTCCAGTGGGTGCTCCGTGGCTCTTGAGTTTGCCATTCCGATTTTGACAGCTTAGAATAGGCAAAACAAGGACCTTCGAGGAACGAAACGCCGCGGAGTTCATTTGCATGCCAGCAGAATACAAGTCGCAAACAAAGCAGCGCACACCTAGAAACGGTCTTAGGCGGCTTGAGTGGCGATAGCTTCAAAATTGTGGGCTCCAAGAGCCGTACGACGGGTTGCGAACGGTCAGGTGCGGAAACCATTTTTCTGGCGAACCAAGGAAACGAGCACTTTTTGGAGTTTCGTAGCGTTTTTTGATGAAACGAGCGCTTTTTAATGTGTTTGATGAAACGAGCATTTTTCAAGATGTTGAACACTGAAGTCTTCTTGGGCCAAAGCTGGAAACCCGCAAAATGCGCGCAAAATGCCGCAAAACAGGCGCAAATTGCCGCAAAACGAGCGCAAATTGAAAAGCGGCGAACCACCCCAACATGGGTTGGATATAGAGGGATCCATGTGCGTTTTTGAGTGTTTGTAGCGCTTTTTGCTTGAACGAACACTTTTGCAAAACGAGCGCTTTTTTTTGTAGCGAAGGAAACTTCAGGTTAGATCGCTCCTAGGTTGGAGGCCATCGCTATTAGGGTGGGAGGCCATCGCTGGGCCATCGCTATTAGAAACAAAGACAAAAGAAAAGGAGGAAATGTCTGATATAGTTTGCTATTAGGTTGGAGGCCATCGCCGATAGACAAAGACCTTGAGACTTAGGTCCACTGCGCCCTGCGAGCCCCACCGCCCACCAAGCACGCCGCGATGGCCTGTGGTAGCATTTGT